TCTAGTGCCAAATATTAAAAAAATAAATGCGCTCTGTCTCTCTCTGTCCCAAAAATAAATAAACGTTGAAAAAAAAATTTAAAAAAAGGGGCGCCTGGGTGGCGCAGTCGGTTAAGCGTCTGACTTCAGCCAGGTCACGATCTCGCGGTCCGTGAGTTCGAGCCCCGCGTCAGGCTCTGGGCTGATGGCTCAGAGCCTGGAGCCTGTTTCCGATTCTGTGTCTTCCTCTCTCTCTGCCCCTCCCCCGTTCATGCTCTGTCTCTCTCTGTCCCAAAAATAAATAAACGTTGAAAAAAAATAAAAAAATAAAAAATAATAAATAAATAAATGCAAGAGAATGAATTACAACTTGTCCCGGTGCTGGTGACCCCATCTAGACACTGAACTTGTCTATAGTGAACTACAAGAACGTATACTTTGAGAAAAGTCTACCCAAAACCTGATGGTAGAAAATTATCCTAATTTACCCATTTTACTCTAATGTATCCATCATGAGCATATTAATCTAGTCTAACATGCAGCGGATGCCAGTTAACATTCAATCCCCTGCACTAAGGTAAGCTTCGACTTGACGGATTCCCTGCCAGTCTCATTTGTATGGCCTCATTATCCTTCGGATATTACTTAGTGCAAAGTTGTAAGTCCCCGGTCTTAAGGACCGTGTAGGTATGACCCCGATCGAAACTGAAAAACAATGAGCACGCTTTCCTTCTAGAAAAATCTTAAAAGACAACGTTCTGAAGGTTAGCTGGCCTTTCAGGCTGGCATCTTGCACCGGTGTGCTGACCCAATTACCGGTCTCTTGAAGCTGCTGTGTTCGGAAATGTGGATGCTATTACGGCTCCTCCGTCACATTGCACTTTACTCAGCTAGTAATTATGAATATGAGCTCAGCTCTGCAGAAAACAGAACGGAACGGTCAGCAGTCATGCTCCGTGTCTGCTCCCCTGGTGTCCAGAGAAGATTACATTGCTTCTCCAGCCAGCTTTTGCCGATTTTCCTCATATTAGGCCTGACTCTCAGAAACTTCCTGCGACTCAAGGTATGAATCTCGAAGCTTTAAAGTTTAGCATCTAAAAACCTCCACCCCGGGGCACCTGGGTGGCTCAGTTGAGTGTGATTCTTGGTTTCAGCTCAGGTCATGATCTCACGGTCTGTGGGTTCAAGCCCATGTCAGGCTCTGTGCTGACAGCTCAGAGCCCGGAGCCTGCTTCCGATTGTGTGTGTGTGTGTGCGTGTGTGTGCGTGTGTGCGTGTGTGTGTCCCTCAAAAATAAATACACGTTTGAAAAATCTATTTAAGGGGCGCCAGGGTGGCTCAGTTAAGTGTCTGACTTTGGCTCAGGTCGTGATCTCATGGTTTGTGAGTTTGAGCCCCACGTCGGGCTCCGTGCTGACAAAGTGGAACCTGCTTGGGAGTCTCTCTCTCCCTCACTCTGTGCCTCCCACACACATGCTCACTCTCTCAAAATAAATAAGCTATAAAAAATATTAAAA